CTAGCAAATTATGCACAATTCAAATGTTCTAGAAACAAAAACAAATATACTATACAAGTTCTAAAAAAAACGAGGCTTAAGCGAAATTTTTGCTGGAAATCATGCATTTTCACACTTGCTGCTCCCGAACACATCTTCCAGTTGTACTCATCATCATCACTCTCAGTAATGAGGGTAAATTGGTTGCTGTGCAAACGAAGGCTCATATCCATTATGCTGGTGATAACATACTGATTCGAATGGCTGCACTGAAACAAGCACAAATTACAGTATGCATCAGTGGTTCGGAACAGAACAACGCGACGCCGAAACTTCGTTCTCTCCCTTTCTTTGTTATGCATTTTTGCAGACGTGCCAATGCAAAAATGCATATTGGCAAGAGGCTGTGTGTGTGTATTCGCACTTTTTGTCACCCACTTTCAACTCGAGAACCAGAAAAGCTAGAAGGCTGAAATTTCGGCAGTACGCGCTCAACCACGTGCAATCCTCCCGTTTTAACATCATCACCCCAAAACGTCTGGGTGCCGCGTGCAAATGCCTTAAAAAAATGTGCAAATTTTTTGGCGGGAAAGCGTTCTCGGGAACCAGACAGGGTAGATAGCTGAAACTCTGCGTGGCTATTTGTGGGCTAGATTTCAAATTCAGCCACTAGGTGTTCGTGATTCTCTCGTATGGGTACGTGAAGAATTTTGCGGGAAAACTGCTAACTCGGTAATCAGAAAAGCTAGAAGGCTGAAGTTTTGAAGGAATGTTCCCTGTCCAAGTACAAACTAAATATTTCAAACTTAACTTTCTGGTATGTTTGTTTCTCACGTACGGGCACTTAAAAGTTTTGGCGAGAAAACTGCTCACTGAACAGCTGGGTTAATTGCAAATAACAACCGTTAAATGGAAACTGTTCATATTCTTCATGCAAAATTTTTAATGATTTATGCCAGTGAGCGCAAAAGATAGGTGTAAAGCAACAACCATTCATATAGTTAAGGGCCTAGTGCAAAAACGCATTATCGCACCGGAAAGCCTGGTACTTTCCAGCCTGAGTTTTCTTCTGTTGCACTAAAGCAATCCTTCAACATTGACCTGGATGCTCTTGTACTTAGGCTTAATGCTTTCTAGCTGCTAATTTGCATATCTTCAATCTAATGCCGCTAAGTTGATGGCAGATGCAACAACCTGGAGTGAGAAGAATGCAGGAGGCTGCAATAAGCTTTTAACTTACCAGAGCACATTTTTTTGCAGAACTTCTCTGGTTATCGAAATGCAAAATTAGTTTGAACCTTGGAGATGCAACTGCAGAGTCAGGCTACGCGAACTGGAACCTGATTTATGTTGTCTTAAGATGGGAAAGAATGAATCTCAAAATTTCTAGCGTGGTCCTCGAAACGTCAAGACGGTCTGAACTTGGCCTTGGGTCATGGGTCAGCCAGCAATGAATTTGCTAAAGGTCACAAAAGAATTAGTTTCGCAAAATTTTCAGCCTACCGTCGAATTTAGGCTTG